GCACTCTAGCCCGGGCAACACAGAGAGACTCTGTCTGAGGAAAAAAAAAAAAAAGTCAAGTCAGGTCAGTTGGTCGTGGTTACAGGTTCCGAAGTCGAACAACAAAATCCATGCTTCGGGAGAAGAGTGTCACGATCAGTGCATATCGGCGTGGGAGCTGGGTGGGTAGGCCCCGCAGTCACCCCTTCACAGTCTGGCAGTGCAGCCCGCGGCACAGGCTCCTGGGCAAGACCTGCTGGTTTGAACCTTGCCTTCGCCACTTGGCCCAGATCCTTAACTTCTGTGCGTTTCACTTTTCTCATCTACGAATTGGGTTAATGACACCTGCCTGGTAAAGTTCGCGGGAGGATTTGGGAGGTTAATTTGTGGAGTGTTCTAAGAAGTATGCCCAGCACACAGTAGGTGCTCAACAGCCGCTGATTTTGTCCTGCCTGAGCTCAAGCGCTATCAGCGTTGGGCGAGCCCATTGTAAGGATGCTCCGTGCCTGGCCCAGAGGAGCTCTCAGCAGCTTTTCCTAATCTGACGGCCCATGCTGGATCAGGCCTGGTGAGCACGGCTTTCACCCCTCAAACAGTCTGGAGCTTCCGCACACGCTCGGCATGGCCCAGCACTAAGCTGGCAAGCAAATTTTTCTAGACGGTCTGACCTCTTGCTGGGTTCCCATGGTGCTTCTGGGTGTTTTGAGCCCTTGACTGGTAAAGTCCCTGAGACGACTCCTGGCACATGTCGCAGCACCGGCTCTGGTCACGTCCCAGACGCTGGGCTGGGGCCCCAGGAACAAGGTACTCACCAATAAAGCTCCTACACCTGCCTTGGCCACAGGGGCCTTAGCTGGGACCGCAGAGAACAAAAGCACCTCAGGACACATTTTGTTGGGCAGGCATAGCATTTTAAAAATTTTAATTTGTTTTCAACATTTAAAATCTAGGAAATTTTTACATTAAAGTTCTAGGATACCTTTTGGGGTAATAGAATTGTTCTATATTTTGATTGTGGTGGTGGTTACACGGGTGTATACATTTGTTGAACTATGTATTTAAAATGTACATCGGACGGGCGTGGTGGCTCATGCCTGTAACCCTGGGGCTTTGGGAAGCCAAGAGGGGAGGATCACTTGAGGCTGGGGATTGGAGGCTGCAGTGAGCTGTGATGACGCCACTGCACTCCAGCCTGGACAACAGAGTGAGACCCTGTCTCAAAAAAAAAAAAATGTGCATAGTTTGTGTGTTTGTATGCAGTTTATTGTAGTAAATTATACCTTAATAAAATAATTATTATTTAATTAATATATCTTAATGAAACCAATTAGAAAAAAATTCTAGGTTCCCAGCTTCACTTGAAAAAATGTGAAGACCTGGCAACTCTAGGCCCAAGTGGCAAAAATTGGCTAGGGCAGTCCCTCTAACTGGGGCCCTGTAGTCCTCACCTCTCCCAAATACCTCTCGGACCCTCAGGCTGAGGGTCGCGCCCACCGTCTTTCCTATGCTGTCCTGCTTCCCTCAATCTTATCATCTACTCATCCCTTTGGGATTCCGGGACACCGAGCTTTGCCCTCTTAATGGTAAGGACACGGCACACAGAACACACAGCTCACCACTTGGCACGTGGCAGGCACTTAATGAAAAATGTGAGCTGCTGTTATCACGATCATCACCAGCGTCGTCGATGTGGCCCAGATCCCCTGCTCAGCAGATAGCCCTCCCTTGTCCTTCTTCTGCAGGCTCCGTCCTGCCACCCCCGCAGTTGGGGAACTGGAGGCATTATCGCGGACCTCCTCCTGTTTCACGCCACGGGTAGAAAGGGACTTGTACAGATGTCCTTTGGCAGACCTTGTTGGGCTCAAACTGTCCTCTCCTTCCCTCTGACTTTAGAGTAAACAGGCACACACAAACACACACGCACACACACAACAGGCAGCTGGCTTGTCTTCAGGGCTCGAGCTTCTGGTCTCTGCCTTGTCTATGCATCCAGAAGAAGCAAAAGAGACCTCAAACACCATTCTAGAGGACTGATGCATCTGAACAGCCTGACTGTGATTCCAGCCCACCCCGAGCTGGATAGGTTCAGTCTTCCGGCAGAGAGCACCCGGCTTCTAATTATCTAATTCACTGTTGCAAGCAGATAAAGTGCCACCGGGCACTTCTGAAGATCCAAGGAGGACTTTCGCGAAGTCCTGGCACAATTTTCAAATTTAACAGCCAGTGCTAGGATTTAATTCAATTTCTCAGATGACTGCTATGCCCCCACTCTGTAGGAAACACAAAGAGGGTCCTAAGAAAGTCTCCATAAAGCATAGCTCTCAGCAGGGATGATGTATCAAATAGCCGTGGCCATGTCTCAGTTCGCCATCCATTCTCCGAGCTGCTCCTGCGAGATCAGCCCCGGCCTCGGTACCCGGAAGGAAGTAGAGGCTTCCTGCCTTGGGCAACGAGCAGCTGACAGCCAGGTGGGGAGACAGGGCCCAAACCAGAAGGCAACTAGTGACATGTGCATTAAACACAAGGACCAGAAGAGAGGTCAGTCAAGTGTCAGTGGGGAGCACAGACAAGAAATTTTGCAAGAACTCAGAAAAGAGAAAGTTCTAAGACCCACCCCCCCCAGAAATGTCTTAATATTTGCCACAAGTACGATAGCTAACTTCATTAATAATGAAGCACTCTTATAAATCAATAAGAAAAAGGCAAAAAAAAAAATAGGAAAGAGGAAAAGGTCATGTGCAGGAAGCTCACAGAAAATTCAAAAGGTTTTAAACCTATGAATGATGTTCAGTCTTCTAGTGAAAGAAATATAAATGAAAGCTGCAAGATCTATCATTCTATCTACTTTTGGTTATACTTGGAAATTTTCCATAATAAAAAGTTTTAATGTTTTTATGAATTCAAAAGAAGAGTTAGCTTTAAGTGACATATATCTAATTGCCTTATTTGGATCTGATTCAAATAAACTATAGAAATTTTTAAAAGTATAAGATGATTAGGGAAATTTGAACACTGACTGTGGTAATACTAGGAAGTTATCATTCTCTTTTTAGGTAAGATAACGGTATCATGACTGTGTTTTTAAAAAGAGCCCTTATCTTTTAGATGTAAACTCTGAAACATTTATGGAAGAAATGATCCCCTGTCTCAGATTTCCTTCAGAATAATCTGGAAGTGGGTGAGGAACAGACAAGACGGCCTTGGCCTCTGGCTGACGGTGAACTGGGAACGGGCTCACAGGGTCCATTATCTTAATCTTTATTTTTAGAAATGTGTAAAATCTTTCACACTAAAATGTTAAGAAAGCACATGCACAATGAGATTTGATTTTTCATTCACTGGACAGGCAAACGCAGAAGCTTTCTCAGACGTTATTGGTAGGAGACTAAACTGGAGTAACTTCTTTGCAGGGTGGTTTGGCTTTATCTATACAAACTACCCTTTGGCTTGGCACTTCCCCGGCCAGCAGCATGCCACGCAGGTAAGCTCACACTCGCGTTCAAAAACACACACAGACATACACAGACTGTCACTGCGTCATTATTCAGAACAACTAAAAATCGGAAACAATACAAACAAACAAGGATACAGGACTGGTCAAAAAATTACAACGCATGTCCCAAAATGAAGCATTCCACAACTTTAAGAAGCAAAAATGAGGAAGCTTTCTAGGTACAAATAGGAAACAACGCCAAAAATGCATTAAATGAAAAAACATCAAAGCCAGAACATGTGAATAATATTTAAGTTAGAACAGAGAGGCGGTATGTAGACAAAGGCGGTATGTAGACAATGTGCTCGCAGACACACAGCGGTATCTGGAAGGATCCAGAGGAAACCAGTACCTACAACTGCCTGGGGGGTTGGGCTGCTGTGGGGACTAGAGGACGGCATAGGAGGGAGACGTATGCTCTTTATGCAACATGATTTTTTTTACCACGTGCATATTAAATAAATTTCCTTGTTTAATGCTGTTGATTAGATTCATTTTTATCAGATTATATTCATGCCTTGGTATCCATGGGGGATTGGTTCCAGGGCCCCCCCTGCATATACCAAAATCTACAAATTCTCAGATCCCTGATATAAATGGCAGAGTATTTGCATATAACCTACATACATCCTCCCAAACACTTTAGATCTTCTCTTCTTACTTATAATACCTAATACCATGTAAACGCTATGTAAATAGCTGTTATACTACATTGTTTAGGGAATAATGACAAGAAAGAAAAGTCTGTACATGCTCAGAACAGACACAACCATCGTAGGCCTAATTACATTTTCCACCCGCTGTTGGTTGAATCCAAGGACGCAAAACGTGCAGATAGGGAGCGCCGACCGTATTAATTGGATTAATTTTCTTCTTTAAGGCTGAGGTTGGTTATCAGTGGCGAGAGCAGTGGGTCACATCTGCCCTGTAGGCCAAACTCTCAGGGGACGGCTGCACAGAGAGCAGGGAGCTGGGGTGGGGGCTGCTCTGGGAGAAGCTGCAGGGCGGGGTTGGGGGGCTGCTGGGAGGGAAGGCACACCCCTGCTTTCCTGCCTCAGCCTCAGTAGCTGACACAGGGCCAGTACAGACCCCTGTAGACCCCAGCTCCTCTCTTGCCAGAGGCTGGTGGATAAACTGCGGATCTGAAACGATGGCTCCATGTGGTCTGAGTGCTGCTAAGTGGCTGACCCTTAGCTGTTCCCAAACAGGGTGTTCCCTCTACACACATCACCCCCCTGCCTTCTCCCAGCAGCCAGGCTTCCATTAGCCAGCAAGTTTGATTACGCAACCCTCGGGAACAGCGGCTGCCAGAATTGCCACCTTCCGCTGCCCGGCTCTGGCTCCTGCCTGTAGTCCCCCATGGGTCACTGTCAGCACTCATCCTCCCACAGGCAGCTGCACACTCCGCCCACTCTGGGGCAAAAAGCACAAGGCTGGGGACAGGAAGTGGGGGTTGGGTTTCTGAGCAGGGGCTCCCAAAGGTCAAACTGACCTCTCTCCACCTGTCCCCATTCCAGGTGTGAAGGAGCAGAGAAGAGCCCCGAGAGGAAGAGAAGCCATTGGGATATCAAGCCTCCTCTCCCAAATCGCAGTTTGCATCCCACTTCTAGGTTCCTTAGAGCTGCCCAAGGCCCCACAGTCCTGGCCAGGGCACTGCCTCTTCCTTTCCCTGGGGAAAGTGGCGGTCAGTGTCCTGCCTGGAAACCCACTTACCACCTGTAAGGTCCAAGCTCTCCTTTTCCCCACCAACAGGTCACACAGGAAGCATGAGAAGGGGACAGCATCCTTCCAGCTCTCCTAAGACTAGCTGCCCGGCCAGCCTCCCCACCAGGGCCCTGGGCCTCCTTTCTAGCCAGGACAGGGAAGCAGGAACCAACCTCTTCGGGGCCATCAGCCAGGCTGCCTTTCCTGCAGGGGACACTCCCGTGCATGATGAAATCCACCACCTTCGAGTTCTGGAACGCGGCCCCCACCAAAGCGATGGCCCTGTCCACAGCCGCCACCATCCTGAAGAGGGCTTCAAGCCTGGCACCGTGCTGGACGGCATCCTGCCGCATGGCCCTCACCAGCTCCAGGACCTCCGGCCACCCGGCCTGAGCGTCAGCCGAAGGGGCACGGGAGGCCTCCAGCCGGTGCAGGCCTTGCTCCAGGTGGCCCATGCCTTGGCACATGCACTGCAGTTTCTCTGTGACGTCTTCTTGGAAATGCAAGAGTTTGTCAACCTTCTCGTTGAGCACGTTAAGCTTTTTGTCCATGGCGGTTAAGCAGGCCTTGCCCAACGCCGGCAGCGCCCGGGGCCCCGGACTCTCCTTGGAAGCTCCTGACATCCCGACGCAGGCTTGACTCGGGCGAGGGAGAGGAAACGGAGCAGCCGCGGACCTCTGGTTTTCACTGAGGTGGTAGTGCCTGGAAGTTCATGGTCCTCGGTGGCCGACGTCCCCGTCCCCGCCCGGCAGCACCGACCCACACAGCCCGCCGTTGCCCAGGCGCGCAGAGGGCCGGTTCTCCGTGTCTGCGCTTTGCTTATCTCCCGCTCTGCCACAGCTGCGAGTGACAAGCTGACTTTGGCCCGGGCCCTTCACCCTGGGGCCCCTTTGACATCACGGCAGCATTTGACATTCCTCTCTGAGAGGCTGCTGATGGGCAAACATTTTAAGAATCTGCCCAGGGTAGGCAGGGACGCGTGTAGCTGCAGCCGAGGTCAGAAGCAAACGGGCTTTAGGTGAGGACACTGCGGGGCTGGACTCTGCAAGACGGAGTAGGACCATCAAGGCCCGAAGCACTGAGGCCACACGCACGCCGAATTCACAATAAAAAGCAAGACCAAAACGGAAGGAAATGTGAGACCACTCGACAAAGCACTGACTTTTGCTGTGATGAAAATTTTCATGCTTCTGCAAATTAAAAACAAATTTTGGGTGCTCCTACTTTGCTGATGCCAAAAACATGTGTTGAGCCTGTCTGTGGGCTAGACTGCGGGCGCCTCCCCACACAGGGCCTCGGCCCCCAGTCACTTGTACCTAAAATAGAACCGAGGGACAATGGCCTGGGCTGCTCACCAAATGCCATCCCAAGGGTCATGTTCCTCGCAGAGCCCTCTGGGGGACATTCACCAGAGAGCCCTGTTCCCCCAATAATGACTATGCCGGTATCAGACGCCCAATTTATAAACTGAAACAGACTCAGCGGGACCCTCGAGAGCAACAGGGCCTGTGTTTCCTTTAATTTCCAAACATTTTAGCCTCACGAACCCTTAATTCTAAGGAAAATTTTTACAGATGCATCAATAAATAAACCAGACACAAGCAGAGATGCTCAGGTTGTCACTGCGGTGGGGCACACAGGTGCACCTCAAGTCCCCAGGATGTCACGGAGCTGTCTGTTTTACACAACTTTCATCCAGCCCCTCATCAGGAGAAAGCAAGGCCCAGAGAGGGAAATCCGTCCAAGGTCGCCCAGACACGCCTCCTGAGGATGGTTCAGCCACGCTCAGTACTGGCGCCGAGGAGGGGGCTTCAGTGTCCCTCTAAGCTTCCCCCTTCTGAATAAAAGCAATTATGATAAACTCTGACCAGGCAATTTGACATCTAAAAGCACCATTAGGTGGTTTAGCTATTTAAGCCACAGCTAACTACCCACACAAGGCGCTTGCCGTGCAAATGGAGTTTGAGCACAGTCCCTTCTGCCTACCCCTCTGTGCCCCTGAGTGGCCGCATAGAAATCCAAACCCATTTTGGGGAGCACAGCCCTGGGCGTTGTCAGCAGAAGGACCCTGCGCATGCTCAAAAGAGCACTGGTCTGTTACGTTCATTGTGATTTCAAACAAATGCACAAATATAAACAAAGTCTCCTTGGAAAAAGAAATTTGGGTAGTAACATTGTGCCCCAGCCCCTCTCGGACATTCACTGCGCACCTCAGTGGGACCTCATCTGCCGTAGAAAAGAAACCTGCATCTGACACCATCCCCCACGCTTCACACTTATCACTGCCCTGGGGAACCAGGGTTCTCTGGATCAAACCTTGGGAAAGGGCCACCTGCAGAAATCTCTGGAAGTCTAACACCCAGCCCAATGCCTCGCTCCCAGCTGGTGCCAACGATGTTTGTGGCATGAAGTTCCCACCGGCCTACGCAGACAGAGCCCGGCTTCGGAGGAGACTTCATTGTTTCCGCTGCTACGGAGATCGCTGGAGCAACCAGCACCCAGGCAAGTCTGGGTTATTAAAACCTGGAAAGACGTCTTAAAACATCCAGATGAACCCAAAGGAAACAAACGCCCCAGACACACTTTTATATCAAAAGCTGATTAGTTAAATTACAGAAGGATTTGCCCCAGGTCTCCCCCAAGCGACAGGCTTGCAAGGAGCTCGCCTCCTAGAACACAGCTGCAGCAGCCGCCTTTCTCTGGAGTCAGCCTGATTGCCCGAGGGTAGACGGGCCTTTCTGGAGCATCCCTTCGTGTGGGGGGTTTTCTACACGGAAGGAAGGAACTGGCGAGGCTACAGCAGGAAGCCGAGACTAAGCTGACCGTCAGAGACTGCTGCGGCAGGAGGAGGCAGGCGCTGGGCTTGAACAACCAACATGAGCACGGGCAGGAACGCCTGGCCGTCCCCAGAAGCAAGCTCTGCGTCCCTCTGGCAGAAAGCCCTGAACACAAGGACCGCAGTTCCTGACGAAAACAGCAGCCAGGGGCACCAGCTTCGAATCTCTTGCGTTTCTCAGCCCGCAGGAGAGCCATTTGCGAGCACACGGTTCCGCTGACGTGCGGTTCTTTCCACCCTCCCCAGGGGACACGCAGCAGCGCGCAGCGTAGGCAGTTCTTTGGGGCACTGGTGACCAGAGGTCAGGGAGGCCCTCCACCCCTCGAGCCAAGAGAACAAGACCAGAGAAGAGGCAGCTGATCGAGATCGACACGGAGTAGCGAATCCAGTCACACCTCATCTTTCCCGGGTGAGGACAGGGCAGCTGACCCACTCCTCTGTTTGCCCCAGGGTGGGGTCAGTGTGCACTGAACCCCAAGACGCTTCCCTGGCCTTCTGGTGACTTTGCAGTCTCGGGATCATGGGGTGGGAGGGATGGCAACATCCTCATCTTAAAATGGTATCAAGACTGACTCACCTCGCAAAATTGAACCCCCACATTGACCTCCGTTCCCTCCGGAGACCTGGTCAAAGAGGTAGTAAGGGAAGAAAATAAACACACGCCTTCAGTGACAAAGAGCACGGCAGAGGAGCCGTTGGTGAGTGAGCATTATCAATGAATTTCTGGAAGACGAAAAGCTGTTGGAGGAGAGGTAACTGGAGAAACACGAAAGAGAAAACCAAAGCCTAACTTTCTGCATAGAACCCCAGAGAATCCTGCGGACCCCACCTGGGGTAAACAGGGGACAAAAATGCAAGACTGAGGAGTCTATTCCCAAACGGTGCCTCCCCTCCTTCCCATCACCCCTGCACAGAAGGGCATGACCGGGGCCCTCGGCCCCCTGGAGGTCACGGTCTGTTTCTGGAGAAGCTCAATGGTCCACAGTGCAACAGCTCTGCGCACTGGGGTGGGGGGTCCCTTGGGAGCCTCTCACCTGATCATACTCAACAAAGCTGTCATTCGTAGCCACAGAAAAGTGTAAAAGTCTATTCTATTCCATCCATTAAAAAAGAAGAGGGGCCGGGCACGGTGGCTCACGTCTGTAATCCTAGCACTCTGGGAGGCCGAGGCGGGCAGATTGTTTGAGCTCAGGAGTTCGAGACCAGCCTGAGCAAGAGCGAGACCC